CAAACGCACAAACGCACAAACGCACAAACGCACAAACGCACAAACGCACAAACACACAAACACAAACCATACACAGAGCCGAGTTGTGTGACCACAAAACCGCAATCCAAGGCACAACTAAGATCTTCTTAGAATAAAATCACATCAACAGTATGCAACCAAAGGTTCCTGGACAGGCCACGACGGCTGCTGTGCCACCAGTGAAGCACTACAGGTCTTGTGTGACAGTATCACACACAATGTGATGAAGTGTGCAAGTCAAACCTGATGCAGTAAAATGCATGGATCAAACATGAGAAGGTTGCAGAAACTTCGACTCGCTTTGCGAAATCTTTTGCAAGTGCCACTCATGTAGAGAAGAAATCAGTATACCCTAAAATGTGCACATCATTGTACTCCAAGTTTGCGGACAGACCACTGTCCCAATCAGTTCTGAAACTAACCATCAACATCTTTGGGCTGCTCATCCGCCTCAGCGGTCTGCTTGAAGGGCCTGCTCCATAGCTTTAACTTTGGCTTTTGATGCAACATCCTGGGGCAATCCTTGCATGATGTCCATGAGTTGACTGAAACCGTCCGGGCATAGCTGGCCGAATTGAATGCACAAGCTCATGAGGTGTATGAACAATCTCACGATGCCAAAACCCTTAGCTAAGAATCCGAGAATCAGGTTTGCACAGACACCCACACGCCCACACGCCCACACGCCCACACGCCCACACGCCCACACGCCCACACGCCCACACGCCCACACGCCCACACACACACACACACACACACACACACACACACACACACCAGCTCCTCCATAAGAGAGTCAGCGAAGTACATCTCCTGAGAAACATCACCAAGTCCGTCCGTCATTCATGTCCCTATCTGAACTATCTGAGATACTTCGCAAAGGGAACTTCTTGGAAGAATGCGGGATGAGACTTCTACGTATCATCTACTCCACAGTTCAAGGAGGAGTGTGCATAGTACATCCAAGCTGCTGCACCCGGGTTTGTACTTTCGGAGAAAAGCTCCGAAGCCGCTCCAGCCCTGGCAGGACTGCGCATTCACACGTAGGCGACGCAGGCATGAACTGTGCGCGGGGCACTTTCAGGCAAGATGTCACGCTGCAACCAAGAACCTCTTTCAACAGACTTTCCGACAGCATCTATGCCGGTGCCTGTAGTAATCCATAACGTTCCAATTCTTGCGCCATATAGCAGTAGCCTTGCATGCATGATGGCATTGCAATCGCACTTCCACTTGAATCTCTTAAAACCTCGCTGAAAAGACAGAACTTCACTAAGCCGTTCCTTTCGTCAGCTGTCCTCCAAGCGCAGGATTGCCTCCTTGGTGTCAAACTGTGCGGCCACGAGGTATCTTCGCAAAAGTCCTCTGAACCCAAATCCAAGCAAAACAACAGAGGCGTAAAAAGTCCGTAACCTTTCTTCGGCTAAGACCCAGTTTTGCGGACTGAAAGTATGAGTTGCCAACCTACATCAAGTTCACTTGCCAAAATTTTGCTAGTGTGAAAGCGAGCAGGTCACCAACAAAGATACCTTACACAGCCAACTTGCAGGTGAAACGCTGCAGCCTGCAGAGTGCACACCTTGTGGAGGCATGAAAATACCGGGGACCCAATGGCTGGACGGCTGATGAAAACAAACATTTTGCGGAAAGGGCGGCCATTATTCTCAAAGCGATGTCCGTCGGTAGGGTCTTGGGCATTTGCCTTGCCAGCTCAAGCGGGTGGGACAGGTCAAGCTGTTCAGTCGGGGCTTTCAGCGAAGCGCACAGAAGCACACAAGGCCAATTTCGGTCCTCGGTCCTTTCGTGGAGGGCGTTTGCTGCTCGGAGTAGCGAAAGGCGAAAGTGCAAGGCAAACTACAATAAACTAAATATGCGGCCACATCACTAATTGTGGGGCCGCATGAAACTAATTCCAGTGTTGGACTGAATGACCTCCTAAATTGCTAAGAAGAGTCTATTATGAACACAACATCAGAATGAGTATTTTATGCGGGCGTGTTTTTCTCTTTTTTCGCCCATAGGTCATAACCGTAAAGAATTCGCACAAGACCCTTTCAATCTTTATATTCAAGCTCCATTCGCGCTGAGACTTCGGCCGCAAGGTTCCAGGATGCGCAGCCGTGCAAGAAAAGTGTTTTTGAGCAACCATGGATTGGCATGGATTGGGATTGGTTGGCGTATGACTGCATGGCCGCTGTTTCTGCGGTTTTTGGTCCGGTTCGGCTTCCCAAAAGTCCTTGCTCAACTGCTCCTTAAGGTGGACAAGCGGGCTAGATGTTTTAGGAAGGACATACAAAGTTTGCCGGTTGCGCCATGCCGCAGGGCTGCCCATGCTGGCCCGGATTCCATGTTCCTTTTTGTGTTCATGCGGGCGTCCATCACGTGGTGGTCAGGGTTCTAAAAGCCCGAATGCGGTTGTCGTCCTATCGATAGATCTGCACACCACCTCTTGGGACGGGGCGGGCGACATGGTCTGGGACATGGGCCTGAAGGAGGCCCATGAGAGCACCTGCGGTAAGGAGCACAACCAAATCCTAGGTTTGCATCCGGGCTGGGGCCCTGGGTTAACATCTAATATTCTGGGCTTCTTTCGGTCACTGCGTCTAGGCAATACAGTGGTGCCGAAAAAGCAAAGATCTCGGAAGCTGAGTAGCTGGCGGCGGGGCTAGCTACTACGTAATCACTCGGGCGGCTTTTGGATGGGTGGGGCGTATGCCCACTCTGGGACCAATGGAAGCTTCAAGGCCCTTCGAGCCGGGCGTTTTATGGCCCGCCCGCTCAGGCTTAACTGACACAATCGTCTTGATGACGTCATCAATACCCCACTTTCGGCTTGGTGCGGCACTCGAAATGCTCAGTTTTGTGGAGCACCCTGCGGCTTGGTTGGCCTCTATTTTCTCCCCGATGCACTTTTGGGCTGCTGGCAATGCTGGGGCAATTGGGGCTTGTCCGTCTCGCGCAAAAAGATTGGACAGCTGGGCCCACGTTACTTGGTTCTGTAAGAACAACCCGAGTGGGCAGTGTCCCTGGATATCCCTCGCCAAACGGCTGAGTTTGGTGCTTGGGTCGAGACAATCATGAATACATATGAATACTGTCGCGAGCCCCTGGGGGCAGGCATAGTCCCAACATGCCCAGAGCTAGCACTAGTCGTTAACACTTGGGATATTGTATTTGACGGGGAGTGCTTTCTGCATTTTGGCTCCTTTCTCCTATCCAGCATTTGGACAAGCTCAGGCTGCCAGCGAAGAGACTTGCTGTCAGCTGAGGACATGTCTTGGCTGGTTCTAGCTCTGGTGGCATACACACCTTTGTAGCAAGAATGGACGCGGATGGTCACACATTTGCTTGTTGCCGGGCATCGCGACCTGGTTCGCGCTAGCGTGCGGCATAAAGGGCCTTCGTTCATCCTGGGATTTCTGGGGGTTGAGTTGTGTTGAGCAAAGTGAGCTTTTTGCTCGTGATGAGACAAAATCGACTCTTGAAGGCTGTGCTGCCCGCTGCTGCCCGCTAGACTGCTAGACTCCTAGACGCTCCTGTTCACGAGGTTTGCTTTGCGGCCCTCACCCTTTAGGACCCTAGATGGGGAGTGTGAACATGGTTGCCAACCAGCACACCGACACCCTCTGCGATCTCGGCCCCCTTCTCCCCGGCATTCCCACCCGCGGTGATAAGCCCATACCATAGGAGGAGCCTGGGGCCACAAGGCACATGCGACATACAAGCCTTCACAGGATCTGACCACGGCGAATTTAGTGATGGGTCTGGAAAGCGGACGAACTAGCGGGTCTTCTCCCACAGAAAACAGAGTAGGGTAGGGGGCATGAGGCCGAAGGCATCGAAGGTATGTGGCAGTGGGGCAGGATCCGTTCACATCCCATTACACCTTGAGTGTCAATCGTGAAGTAGGGGTCGTCAATCACGGCCGGATAAATGCCAGCCTGCCTCAGAGCAAAGCAACATCGAGATCGGTACCAAGTTCTGGCTCGTGCGGGCGCAGGGCAATCGTTCGCGGAGCACGGCCCATTGCCTCACCATCTTGCATGCTCTTACTTTGGGCAAGATTCAGCAAGCCTCGAAAACCAAAAAGGCGGCGGTGCCTCTCCATCTCGGCTAGAAGCTCTTGCCGCTCAGCTGACACAAACCTGAAGCAGCAACGGAACCACTGACCGGATGTTTGGATGTGAGGTTGGACTGAAGGGCCGAAGGCCGAGCCAATCACTGAACATTCGCTGGATCCTTGGCCACGGCATCCGTGTCCGGTGGCGACGGCGAGCCTCGCAAGCAGCAACGAGCAGAAGTAGAACAGCCTGTGCCTGTCTCAGCCCCTCCTAAACATGCATCCGCTTGGTACTGCCCGAAGCCCCGTGGCGCACCCGGACGTCTGAATGGGTTTCCCAAGAAGGACAGCGCCACTGATGACACTGTGGGCCACGGGATGCACAGGACCACCGCCAGGGGGGCCAACCAGCTGCGCAGCCTGCGCCTGCTGCACTGTTTTGCCCCAGCTTTAAACGAAGCTTGACCGTCTTTACCTGGAATCTCAGACTGTACAGCAACGACGAACCTCGGCGCGTGCTCCTGACTGGAGATCCTCACGGCACGCTGCCGCATGGCTGTGAACAGAAGGTGCTACTGTGGACACGTTCGTTTCTGCAGAGGTGCACTTAAGGCTAGATAAACATAGATGAACAGTACCACGACAGGCCTTGTGGTGGCAACCACATGCTGACCATGCTTCTCTGTAGACGTTCTAATCAGCTTGATTCCGGCGCGGCACCAGCACAAGCTCTAACCACGGGTTCCATGAAGAAAAGGCTGAGTGCTGTGGATGAGGATGTGGAGATGAGCGGAACTTGGCCAAGAGATCACCGATTGATATCACATTTCTGCATAACTACGCACAACATGGGAAATGTTCATCTTCTTATTCCGGGACTCCCTTGGAGAGAGCCCCTGCCCATGCTGAGTGCTGCAACATCTCGTCAATGGGAAGATCTGCCACCTTGACACAGATCGGCTCTCAACGTAAATGAGATGCAAGAGAGGCGAGATGCTTTCGTGAAAAGGCAAAAAAGGCAAAGGCATCTCGTAGGACGAAGATTCCACGACCTCTGGATGAGGCGTTGGGCTTCACCTCGATGGCTCAAAATATAACAGAGCCGGATAAACGTGAAAGTGGTGCTTGAAAGCAAAGCACCAAACCACCAAAAATGAACGAGGCACGATCCAGAGACCACCCTTCTTTTGATAGCAATCGAGAAACTCCTTGGGCCAAGAGAGGCGCAGCCCAGCATCCACGGCTACTTTTGATGCATCATGGTGAACCAGCGGTCCTGCATCTGCCCAGGCAGAACCTTCTGATGACCAAACAGCATGTCTTGAAAGCCGGTCGACCAACATCACTGACAACCTATTGGGCTCATCGCGAAAGTTTGCGGCACAAAGTCGAAGGCATCGCCAAATGTCTGTGCCTACATGGAAGGCTGACGCGATAGCAGTGCTGAACATGAAAGACGAGCAATGTTAACAGTACATTCCTCAGACACCTTCCCGAGCATCCCACCATGTCTCTGAAGTTCACCCACAGCCGATCCTTGCGAGTGAGCTCGGTAGACCTTGGTTGGGTGACAAACCAAAGCCCACAAAAATGCCATGTGTTCGTGATGTGTTCATGAGCTGGCAGTAGAAGTCTCTGCTGAATGTGGCCCTGTCCTCATGTCAGGTTTGCCTTTTTGAGCGAGGTGTGGTCGATTCGTGAGAAGACGCTGCGCTTGTGGCATAAGGTTCGCTGTTGTGCTACATGGTGCAGGAGTGGGGCGAGAGCCGGAGAGAAATAAAGAGAAAAAGAAAGAGAAAGAGAGAGAGAGAGAGGGACTTGCTCAAGACGTGTGCCTTCAAAATGCGGGAGTCTGTCTCTAGCCTGGCCGAATGAAAACCGACTGTGCGGGAATTGGTTAGTCTGCCAGAGGTATGACATGATTGATCTCAAAACGTATGCGGCAATGTAGGGTTTCTTCCCTTGTACAATAACCTCATGTCCTGCAACATTGCTAGAAGAAACCGAGTACACATTTTCAAAGGTTGCCAAGGAAAGCTGACTATTTCCTACAGTTTTGGATAGGAAAGCTGCTAGCTGCTAGTCACCAGTCAAAAGACAGCAGGTCACGCACTGTTCTTGGCAATGTGAGATCAACTAGGTTCAGCTGTGCGGGAACAATGCTCCCTGGTATCCTCAGAATGAATGTAAAGGATGAAAAATATGATGAAAACCAGGCCTTCAACTGTGTATTGCTTGTTGTCGGAACATCGGGGTTTTGCTGCAAAGACAAGTGGTCAAACAAATGGCCGAGGTCAAGACAAGAAACTAGCACAAAAACATTAAGCAGAACTGTACACCATAGAGCTGTACTTCTAAAGAATGATCAGGAACCCATTCCCACCTTCAGGTCAGCAAGCCGCGTCATTCGTGACCAAAAGCAAAGGCAGCAAAGAAGGCGATGGTTGATGAAGTTGGTGAGGTTCAGACAACCCCGGTCCCCCCCTTCCCTTCTTCCGGAGCGTTCGCACTCTTCGCCCCTCAGGGACTTTGCCGGCTGGATTGGCAGCAGCACGTGACTTTTGCCTGCTTTGCGGCTGAGCCATGGGAAGTGATGCCGTTGCGTATCCAAATGCTGTGCCCCTTCCGACCCCAGCCGGCGCTTCAACTAAACGGCATCTTAACAGCTTCTGTGGCCCAGGCCCAGGGAAATGGTTCACGCGCTGGAACTCGTTCATTTCCTGCGAGACTGTAGCTGCAGAACAATTGCTGGTGCAAATGGCTTCGGTACCTGGTAGGCAGAGTCTCGGAGGCCCGGCCCCGACCACTGGATGAGCCAGTCCTCACATCACAAGTCACTCCAGTTCACTCGCACATGCACAAACACACACACACACACACTGTGGCTTGACATGAACTGCTGCTACGAACACCCGACCGACCACCTGACCACCCAAGAGGAGTCAAGAGGAGAAAAGAAAGGAAGAGCATCCTTGCTTACATCAAGCGCAAGCTCACATCGCCTTAGTCAAGGGGAGTCTTTGGCTGATTCCTGGAAAATTGCAGGTACGTCGGCGTGCGTCCACACCGATATCCTCAGGACACTGTGGAGAGCTTTGTTAGATGGAGCTCCACAGGCCTGCTCCATCCCCCTGCAGACTGGAAACTGATCACATGACGGAGAATTACTGATCACCATGCTCAGGTGTTTACACACGCACACACACACACACACACCCGCACACACACACACACACACACACACACACCCAGGGTACCCTAGCAAGCAAGGTCTGTAAATTCCACAGAAATGCGCAAGTTCCGCATCTGGCAAGCACGGGTGTCAGTCCCGCCCAGTCGTCTGCGTCATGCCATTTGTCAACAAGGTGTCTCTAACCACAGGGGCCTGCACAGTGCATACTGACCGGAAGTTAACTTTCGCGCATGAATCACCTCTGTTCTGCTCATTGTGGAAAAAGGTAAGGAACTGTAAGCTGTGTGTGCCTCCGTGTGTTCGATTCTGAAAGATGGTGTCAGCAAGGACGAGCCTGAAGCTTCTCACCACTGCCCACATAGACTTGCAAGGAGCAGCCCGGACTTTATGGTCCAGTCCCATGCAAAAGTCTGAGGGCACGCACAGATCTTGCTGATGGCCTCCTCTTGCTTTCAACAGCAATTGGAGTACTTGCAGGGCCGGTGGAGATGTTTGTAACTGCCTTCTTGAGCTTCGAGGCTGGAGCTTTGAAGTGGAGGACGCTCATCTCCTAGAGAGTTTCACCATGTACGAAGAAATTGTACAAAGTGTTGCTGGGGCGAACCAGGCAAAACTTGCACCAATGCCGTATCTACAGAACACCGAAGATACACGAGACAATAAAGCCAGAGTCGGGTCCTCCCACTCGGAGCCCAAGTGCTTAACCTGAGGAAACACAGGCAGAAACCAATCAAGGCACCCGCACACGTGTCCTGCAGCTCTGCATTATATAGGCCCAGGTCAAACGTCTCAAACCTTTTCGTGCCACTCTACATGTTTACGATTTTGGAGCGTGTAAGAATATAGCGCTTGCAGGAAGCCTCTTGTGACAATCCTGGCATCCAGTTCATGTATAGTACGATTTCTGCAAACGACTCGACCGGGTCTGGAGCAACTTCACGAAGACTTTCCCGAGCTTGAGCAGCAAGGCAAGCCTAGAAACAGGCTGAGTCAAACCTACCACATTCCTGGTTCACACTGGCAGAACTACCACATCTGCTACAGTCACGTCAGTAGCTGAAAGTTGGAGCGCGTAGACATGGAGAGAGAGAGAGAGTGAGACAGAGAGAGACAGAGAGAGAGAGAGAGAAAGAGAGCCAGAGAGAGAGAGAGAGAGAGAGCCAGAGAGAGAGAGAGAGAGAGAGAGAGAAAGAGAGAGAGAGAGAAAGAAAGAAAGAGAGAGAAGCGACGAAGAGACACGGTGAAAGGCATATAATGCTCGCCCCAAAAACCTATGAAGCCTTCAGGGTTGTCGTTTGCAAGCGTGCCCGGCCCTGACCGTATGAAGATTGAGATTTACAAGTTCACGGCGTTGCTTTTACAGTCTGTTACGCACTCCTCTGACGTTTGGGACCAGCATTCTTTCCGTATCCCAGAAACCCCAGCCTCGGGACAAGCATTTCTGAACAACTTATTCGTAAGCCTCGGCTATACTCGGCCTCTGTTAAGACCGTTGATGGCGGGTTTTTTGTGCGAACCACCGCATTTTAAAACACAGTTAGGAAGCACAGTTTCTTTGCAGTCAAGCCTCCGGATAGCCGCTCCTAAACGAAGCCTGTAAGCCTGACCTCTGGAAACCCACTGAGCACTTTTGCGAAGATTTGAATTTCAAATCCCGGAATCCAAGCAGACTCCTGGAGAAGAACCGCCGGTCAAGAATATCGGTATTGAACTGCAGTATGTTTCAATGTCCCGAATGCACCAGATCCTGGATCCAAAGTGGCGCTCCAAGAAAAGTAGGACCATCTTCTTTCTGTGCTATTGAAACTTCTTCTGTCAGATGCAATGGACCATGGCGTGATGAAGGATGAGGGGGGGGGAGGAGGGAGAGGGAAAGAGGCAGAGAGAGAGGTAGGGAGCGAGCCAGAGAGAGAGCGAGAGCGGGAGAGAGAGCGAGGGAAAGAGAGGGAGGGACAGAGAGAGAAAGAGAGAGAGAGAGTGAGAAATAGAAGTATAGATTAAATAAAACACGAAAACGAAATGGAGGATACCGGAGGAAGCGCGAGAGGCTCCGTCCTCCGAGTCTTCGTGGCCATTGTCATCATCCGACTCATAACCTGCATCTGTTTCAAGCTCAGTCCAGTTTACAAAGGGACAGGAGTCAGCAACCTTCTGAAGACACAACAAATTGTCAGCCTGTCCTGAAAGGTCCGACATTCCGCTCATGTCCAAACAAAGACTAGGCCAGGAAATATGCCTGGCACGTGCGGCCAGAATCTTCCGGAAGTCGGATCCATCCTTCAAAGCATATGAGGCCGTGCAAATCTAACAGATATTCCTTAACTTCATAGTCGCCACATTAACCTACTGTCTTCGTGATCAAACAACAGTAGAAGCTCGAGAAGCTCGACATTGTGCACGGCGAGGGTCCTCCACAAAGCCGTCGGTGAGCGCAGCTACTATATATATTGTGTGTTCGGCACAAAAATTTTAAGATCAAGCAAAGCATTACGAACCTTGTGACCCCTGTCGTAACGCAGAAAACAATTGACGCAACCCTCGTCGTGATCGCTTATAGGGTGCGTTCTGCAAAGTCAGGTCAGCAGGTCCCGTCTAATGTAGTTTTTCATGTCATGCCCTCTTTGGTATCATGCTTCCTCATGTTAGTTAGGGGCTGTGAGCATCCGGAAATCATGCGCGAAACGAACATGATTTAGGAGGCTTCCAAGAACTCATCGCTCAGAACTCAACGTCCTGCGAAACTTCTTTTGGCCAAAGTGAAAATATTTTTTCTGAAGTGCAACTAGAGTGGAACACAACGGACATCCACGGACATTTTCGATCGCTTTGCCAAGTGCCTTTGTCTGGCGCATGCGCGCCTCAAGGTTGCTTCGGCCTCTTGGACCATTGGAGAGGCCATATAGGGCAGACAAATGCAGCCCACGAAGATCAATTACAACATATTGCAACATATTGCAACATATTGCAACACAGGCGACTCCACTCATCAGGTTCAGCAGCTCTCTTTCTGAAGGCACACAATTGGCCTTGCAAGCCCAGTCTATTGCCTTGACCAAAAAGCAGCATGAAACGCGCAGAGGGCACAAGTGAAAAACACGCATAGCATAATATGATACATTCTGAACCTCAATGTTCAGCTCTGGCCCACTCCAGTCTAAGCATGGAAAATCCACCAACCCTGGTTCGGCGTGTTGGCTGGTTCTGAGGGAACCCTTTCTCCCCCTGTCCCCTCCTTGAGCCTGGAAACCAGAAACGCGGGGCCTGTGCAGGTTCCAGAGGACTCGGAGCCCGTGACGCGTGAACTCATGACCCCCCACAAACCGCCTCTGCCTGTCAGGGACCGCTTGGCATGCGTTTTGAACCTAGACGAACCTCTCCCAACTTCTACAAGGGACTGCCGAGGCAGTGGCTGTGTCTTCGAGCGCTCGACTGCTGGGGGAGGCGGGGAGCGGCTCCTTTTCACCCCTTATTTCGGCGGCAGCCGGAAACCCAAAAACTCTTTGACATGCATATGCCTCCTAGTACCAAGTTGTCCAATCAAATGGGCAGGCCACACCAACAACTTCAGAGTCAAGTTCGAGGCTTTCTTCCACCGTCTATCCTTCGGCCTGTTTCACAAAGCTCAATATGCTTTATCATGGAAAGTCCACGGCAGCCTGTTACAGCAGCATCCTACCCATAGCAATCCCGTAAGAAATGCTGAGAAATTACACCAGCGAAGACCCCAAACAGAATGCATCGAATCACACGGGTTCAAGATGGAATGCGTTGGAACCCAATCTGGCTTCGCCAGCAGATGCTGCGAAAAATGTGTAAGCATTCGGCAAAGATTTTCTGCGAAATAGGATGTAAAGAAGCAGGAAGGGATTTGTCGGCTTACAAAGCAAACAAAAAGCCCTCTTTACACGGAACCGCTGACGATTTTTTCGACAGACCGAACGAAGGGCCTCCTGCATAGGATCTTGCCGCCGCACAAACCACGCACGGGAAAAACGCATACTGTTCCCGCAATTGTTACAACATTGCCGCATTGCAAGACAGGATACCTGGCCTTTGCTTCAGACGTTTGTGGTTTGTGGAAAAACCGCAAATGAGCTTGGTATTCGGTTCGGTTGGCTGTCGCGCGGGAAAAAGTGAACTTTGCCGCGACTACTTGGCCAAAAAAGCAGGAAGGGATTTGTCTGCTTTCAAGGCAAAAAAACAAGCTCTCTGTGCACATGGAACTGTTGACGATTTTTTTCGCAAACCGAACGAAGGGCCTCCTCCTGCACAGGATCTTGCTGCTGCACAAACCACGCACGGAAACAATGTACATTTTTCCCGCAACTGCTACAACATTGGCGCATTGCGAGACAGGATACCTGGCCTTTGCTTCAGACTCTTGTGGACAAACGCAAATGAGCTTAGTGGCTTAGTATTCGGTTCGGCTGGCTGTCGCACGGGAAAAAGTGGGAACTTTGCCGCGAATATTTGGCAAAAGAAGCAGGCAGGGATTTGTCGGCTTAGAAGGCAAACAACAAGCTCTCTGTACACGGACGCATTGACGATTGTTCCGAAGACCGAGTGAAGAAACTCCTGCACAGGATCTTGTTGCAGCAGCAAGAATGCACGCAAAGAATGCACATTTTTCCCGCAACTGCTACAACATTGCCGCATTGCGAGACAGGATACCTGGCTGGATACGTTTGTGGAAAAACCACAAATGAGCTTTTACAAACCAAACAAAAAGCCTCTGTTACACGGAAACGTTGGCCATTATTCCCGCAAACAAAACGAAGGGCCTCCGGACCTTGCTGCCGCACACACGACGCGCGGAAAAAAAGCACGTTTCTCCCGCAACTGTTAAAACGTTGCCGTGTTGCGAGACAGGATACCGGGCTGCATACGTCTGCGGTAAAAGCACATATGAGCTTTTACAAAGCAAGCAAAAAGCCTTCTTTACACGGAACCCTTGGCGATTTTTCCCGCACACGAAACGAAGGGCCTGCTGGTCTGCTGCACAAGATCTTGCTGCTGCAACGGAACCGTTGGCGATTTTATCCGCAGACCGAACGAAGGAAGGGCCTCCTGCACAGGATCTTGCTGCCACCACGCGCGGAAAAAATCACATTTCTCCCGCAACGGTCGCAACTGTTACAACATTGCCGCAGTGCGAGACAGGATACCTGGCTGCATATGTTTGTGGAAAAAGTACAAGTGAGCTTTTACAAGCCAATCAAAAAGTCTTCTTTACACGGCACCGTTGGCGATTTTTCCCGCAGACGAAACGAAGGGCCTGCTGCACAAGATCTTGCTGCCACAACGGAACTTTTGGCGATTTTATCCGCAGACCTAACGCAGGGCCTCTTGCACAGGATCCTTCTGCCGCACACACCACGCGCGGAAAAAATGCACATTTCTCCCGCAACTGTTACAACACTGCCGCATTGCGGGACAGGATACCTGGCTGGATACGTGTGTGGAAAAAGCACAAATGAGTTTTTACAAAAGAAACAAAAGGCCTTCTTTACACGGAACCGTTGACGATTTTTCCGCAGGCCGAACGCAGGGCCTCTTGCACAGGATCTTGCTGCCGCACATACCACGCGCGGGAAAAATGCACATTTCTCCCGCAACTGTTACAACACTGCCACGTTGCGAGACAGGATACCTGGCTGGATACGTTTGTGGAAAAAAACACAAATGAGCTTTTACAAAAGAAACAAGGGCCTCTTGCAGAGGATCTTGCTGCCGCACACACCACGCGCGGGAAAAATGCACATTTCTCCCGCAACTGTTACAACACTGCCGCGTTGCGAGACAGGATGCCTAGCTGCATACGTTTGTGGAAAAAGCACAAATGAGCGTTTACAAAGGAAATAGAAAGCCTTCTTTACACGGAACCGTTGACGATTTTTTCCGCAGCCCGAACGCAGGGCCTCTTGCACAGGATCTTGCTGCCGCATACACCACGCGCGGGAAAAATGCACATTTCTCCCGCAACTGTTACAACACTGCCGCATTGCGAGACAGGATACCTAGCTGGATACGTTTGTGGAAACCGCACGCAGGGCCTCTTGCACAGGATCTTGCTGCCGCACACACCACGCGCGGGAAAAATGCACATTTCTCCCGCAACTGTTACAACACTGCCGCATTGCGAGACAGGATACCTAGCTGCATACGTTTGTGGAAAAACAGAAATGAGCTTTTACAAAGCAAACAAAAGGCCTTCTTTACACGGAACCGTTGACGATTTTTTCCGCAGACCGAACGCAGGGCCCTTGCACAGGATCTTGCTGCCGCACACACCACGCGCGGGAAAAATGCACATTTCTCCCGCGACTGTTACAACACTGCCGCATTGCGAGACAGGATGCCTAGCTGCATACGTTTGTGGAAAAAGCACAAATGAGCCGTTACAAAGGAAACAAAAAGCCTTCTTTACACGGAACCGTTGACGATTTTTTTCCGCAGACCGAACGCAGGGCCTCTTGCACAGGATCTTGCTGCCGCACACACCACGCGCGGGAAAAATGCACATTCCTCCCGCAACTGTTACAACACTGCCGCGTTGCGAGACAGGATACCTAGCTGCGTGCGTTTGTGGAAAAAGCACAAATGAGCGTTTACAAAGGAAACAGAAAGCCTTTTTTACACAGAACCGTTGACGATTTTTCCGCAGGCCGAACGCAGGGCCTCTTGCACACGAGGATCTTGCTGCCGCACACACCACGTGCGGGAAAAATGCACATTTCTCCCGCCGCATTGCGAGAAAGGATACCTAGCTGCATACGTTTGTGGAAAAAAGCACAAATGAGCTTTCAAATGGGAGCCCAGCCCCGTTGCCGTGGCCCACCCATCCGACCCAGGAGCCTAGAAAGGAAACATGAAGGGAGCCCAATGGGAGCCCAGCCCCGTTGCCGCTGCCCACCCATCAGACCCAGGAGCCCAGAAAGGACACATGAAGGGAGCCCAATGGGAGCCCAGTCCCGTTGCCGCGGCCCATTCATCACCTAGGAACCCAGAAGAAACGTGAAGGGAGCCCAATCAGAGCCCAACCCCGTTGCCGCGGCCCACCCATCCGACGCAGGAGCCCAGAAAGGAAACATGAAGGGAGCCCAATGGGAGCCCAACCCCGTTGCCGCGGCCCACCCATCCGACCCAGAAGCCCAGAAAGGAAACATTAACGGGAGCCCAACCCCGTTGCCGCGGCCCACCCATCCGACCCAGAAGCCCAGAAAGGAAACATGAAGGGAGCCCAATGGGAGCCCAACCCCCCCCAATGGGAGCCCAACCCCATTGCCGCGGCCCACCCATCCGACCCAGGAGCGTTGCCGCGGCCCACCAGGAGCCCAGAAAGAAAACATGAAGGGAGCCCAATTGGAGCCCAACCCCGTTGCCGTGACCCACCCATCCGACCCAGGAGCCCAGAAAGGAAACATGAAGGGAGCCCAATGGGAGCCCAACCCCGTTGCCGCGGCCCACCCATCCGACCCAGAAACCCAGAAAGGAAACATGAGGAGCCTAATTGGAGCCCAACCCCGTTGCCGCGGCCCACCCATCCGACCCAGGAGCCCAGAAAGGAAACAGAAGGGAGCCCAATGGGAGCCCAACCCCGAGCCCAGAAAGGAACATGAAGGGAGCCCAATGGGAGCCCAACCCCGTTGCCGTAGGAGCCCAACCGCCGCCAGAAAGGAAACATGAAGGGAGCCCAATAGGAGCCCAACCCCGTTGCCGCGGCCCACCCATCCGATCCAGGAGCTTAGAAAGGAAACATGAAGGGAGCCAGAGGAGCCGCGAAAGGAAACATGAAGGGAGCCCAATGGGAGCCCACCCCGTTGCCGCGGCCCACCCATCCGACCCAGGAGCCCAGAAAGGAAACATGAAGGGAGCCCATGGGAGCCCAACCCCGTTGCCGCGGCCCACCCATCGCACCCAGGAGCCCAGAAAGAAAACATGAAGGGAGCCCAATGGGGGCCCAACCCCGTTGCCGCGGCCCACCCATCCGACCCAGGAGCCCAGAAAGGAAACATGAAGGGAGCCCAATGGGAGCCCAACCCCGTTGCCGCGGCCCACCCATCCGACCCAGGAGCCCAGAAAGGCAATGGGAGCCCAACCCCGTTGCCGCGGCCCACCCATCCAGCCACCGCGGCCCACCTTTTTTCTGAGGAGAGAACCCCAAACGATTCTGTTTGGGCAAATACTAGCTGTAACTGGTGGTGCAGCTCTGCGCGGTTCCATTGCAAGCAGTCTCAGAATAGGCGACTTCTTCACCTCAGGGAGCACCTGTGAAAGAAGTTGGCGGCATGTTGCGCAACGAGCACCACGTGCAGGAACACTGACAGAACCTTCAAGCCGCACATCCAGTCATCCAGCTCTCAGCTGCCACCCACCTTGCAAACCACGACGCGAGAAATCATGCCTACTGGTAGCAGAGATGCTTACCCAAACAACAGTTCGATTCGTCAAGGTCTAACCGCTCATTATGTCGCAAGACACGCCGGTGTCTGGGACACAAGCAATGATGTTGTTGATGGGAATGAATACCAGCTTGACGGTGTAGCCTCAGAGTTCCATGCTCTTGAGAGACTCCTTGCGGCTGATTGCTCTGTAGCAAGTCCGCGACCGATGAATCCCATGATGGAGAATCCAATGGCGCAAGCAACTGCAATCTTCTTGAACTCCTGTGGCAATGCAACTATAGCCGCACAAATGACCTCACCAAAGCAACTAACAGGACTTGTCTTACTCTCCTTTGCATCAGGCTTGGTGCAACGCTGGATGAGGCGGCGAGAGTCCATTCCAAACCTTCAGCACTTGGAAACTGTTTGTCTTGCAGACACAAATTTCGTTCCAGATAGCCATCAACATGATGTGAGGACTGGACTGGAATCATGCAGGGGTGCGACGAGAGTGACTGTTAAAGCAAAACAACCGGCACCGGATCACTGGATAAGCCGCTGGCTCGATGGCACCCTGCACGCAGTAGCCTTCATCAGCGGCGCATCCCAAAACATTACAATGATAATGACAACACATTCAGCCGGATCAGGGCTCTAAGGCAATGGCCGACGGGGTTGTTTTTGTCCGTAAGGAAAGGCATCGCCGACCTGTGCATGTGCAAAAACACACGTCTGTTTCTGAAAATACGCGTTTTTCCCATGGTTTTTGTATATCTCTCAAGGCCTTCGGACCTCAAAAGAACATGCTCCGTTTGCACGGAATTGTCAAAAACCTCGGGCTTTTGCACATTCACGGGAGTCACATTTCGGGTTGGGCGAAATGAGGTCGCAAGGAGCAAAACGCTCGCGTTTACAGTGGCTTCGGGCTTTGCTGGCGAAAAATTAGCGTTTTCAAAAAACGCGGAATTTTATGGCTTTTGGCATTGTTGCTGGAACATGTCTGGGTGGGATGGTTGCTAATATGTATGTAGTAGTGTCTCATGTTTTGACAGGGGAATAGTATGTTGTTGGTACAGCATACTCTTACCATTTGCAGTGTATATTTTATGCACAAGCGCAGAATTCTTTTGTTGGCAAGCTGGCAAGCTCGAGGGTTCAGGTTTGGACGTCTCCAGCTCACGTGCTGAACTGGCGCAGGCGTTTGCCTGTTGGGTTTTGGGATTTTGGGGTTTAAGGATTTTCGATTTGAGGAATTTCGGGGTTCAGGGGTTTTTGGCTTCAGGGATTTTCTGATTTTGGGGTTTTGGGATTTTGGGGTTTAGGTATTGTCGGTTTCAGGGAATTGGGGGGTTTTCGGTTTTTAGGGATGTTGCTGTATTTTTAGGATTCAGGGATGTTTTGGATTAGGGATTTGCGGGTTTTGGGACAGTAGGGTTTAGGCCTAGGGCCCAGGGTAAAGGGTTCGACTGCAGAGACCGTCGAGCAGCATCTATGACACTACCGGATATAACCCTGGGCGGAGTTTGAGGCAGCACTGCTTTGGCTTGTCAGGGCTGCATTGCTTTGTGATGTCGGAGTTTTTTTGTGTGGGTGAGAGAGTTTCGAACCCTACACTTTAAACCTGAAAACCGAAGGCCACAAGAGGTCAGGTGTAGTTCCGGGTTCAGGGTTCAGGGTCTAGGCTTAGGTTAGGCTTTTTTCAGGGTTTTTTGGGAGTTTGGGACTGCGCTTGTTTGGAATATCAGGGCTGCGCTGCTATCTGGGCTGCACTGCTTTGGGATGTCAGGGCTGCACTGCTTCGGGACGCCGGGGCTTTTTTGTGGGGACGGGGAGTTTGGAACCCTAATGGCTGCGCGCAAAACAATGGACGTAACCACCCCCCCCCCCACCCCGAAACGCAGATGTACAATTCGTGCGTTCTACCTGACGGTAATCCATGCGGCAGCAAAATATATGGACACGAAATCAAGCGGATAAGTTCTCCTTGCCGCCTTCTTTCAAGACGGCAATAGCAATCAATGGCCGGTGGCGGTGGGGTCGATGGCGGCGGTAATGCGGCTACGGGGCCACAATGGCATGTAGTGGGCAAAGGGGGCCGTGCGTGTGGATTTGCGCGGGAGGGTAGTGTCGGCGACGGGGGACGGCGAAAGCTGGGGGGGGTGGGGTGGGGGTAGTCTCATTCTGCCTGACCACCTTTTGCGCTGGTCTCAGACCCGAATCGTTATGGAAGTATTTGTGAAGAGCAAGCACGCAGCAGACCTTACTGTACGACACCTGCATATGTCAAACGTCCCACAAACAACAGCAATCCCTGGCACCCCACCCTCACCCGGGATGTTCAAAACCCTTCAACCCCTTCACCCTGGACGACTGCCTTAAGCCATCAGCCGCCTGAACTGAACCGCGGAAGCACCCTAGCGGGCCCCGTAGCCAACGCCCTGCGTGATATGCAGCACTTGTACTGCCTTTTGGGTCGGCGGCATGAGCGGAAGCTCTTCAAATCCGCGCACGCCCATGGTCCGACGCTGCTAGGCACCAGCCCTAGCTTGAGCTCCCCCAGGGCTGATGTTTTCATGGCTTCTAACACATTTACCTGAGAAATAGATTTTTTAACAAGCCAAACCGCATTTTCTGGCTCTAGGTTTCGCAGTTTCGTGCCGCTTTCTATAGCGAAAGAGTCTGGAAGTGAGATGGCTTAGCAATGTATGCAATGTTAGCAATGTTGCAAGCGGCTATGCGTCGAAGCCTGGGTTTCGGCCCACTTGTACACAACAGCGTTACGAAAAACATGAACTATCCTAACGATGTCGGTTGCATAAAGCTTGTTTTGTAGATTTGGGGGAAAGGTGAATGTAATAGGGCCAGATATTCTTGACTCTGGTAGCTGTATCGGGCGACCATTTGAAAAGAAAGCATCAGTGTTCCCAACGCTGAAATATACTCGCTATGCAAATCATTGCTAGGTAAAACAGCTGCATCAACAAACCGATTCCTTACCGTGAGTACAGACCCGACCCTGATCCAGGGTCGGAACAGCTTCGCAGCCATCTCCACGTTGCCAGGATGCGTCGGGGCAAAATTTGGTAGAAGTCTTCTCTGGCGAGCAGCACAACGGCGGTCAACGAGATGTTGGCACGGCTGCAGAAAGCAAAAAGCAATGAATGCTCCCATGATCCGAAACTCAAAGATCTCAAATAGCCTGCTGCATGTTCTTTAGCTTCAACAGGCATTCCAATGGAGTCTTCAAGTCTAAACTGTAGAGGCGTTCGCCAGTGCGATGCCAGAACAGGAACAAAAACGCTCAAGAAGAACAGAATCAAAGCCTTCCCTCCAATGCTGCTCAACCTGTTCTGGTAGAAGTCAGTTGATGTGCATATGAATACGGCTGTGTGCGTACACAGGACTTTTTTCTGTTTCGTGACGAAGTCCTACATAGCAGAGGTCCGGTAAACAAACTACAGCTGCACTTGCAAGCCTTGCGGCACGCAGCTCGTCTTCGACTCCCTGCGAACCTGTGACTTATGTTGCACTGGGGGCTTTCGGCTTCACTTGTCGCGGCTCCTGTCTGCCGCCTCAGGTCTGAAGTCACTGACGGACTCTCGGCACTCATTGCTCTTTCTTTGCTCCGACTCCGTTCTCGCTCTTTGACCTATCAGCGGGCACTTCCTGCATTGCACAGCCCTCGAGTTATGCCTGCATCGTGGTGTGACGAGTAGGGTAAACATCACGTTTACTCCACGGTCTGTTTCTGTGACTTCCGCATGCACAGCACATTTATATATTTTTGCATCTTAAGTCTAAAGTGCTCATGAGCTTCGTCTCTTGGAGGCTTTTGGTAACCACGACGGCTTTTGGGCCAAGGCGCTGTCTTCTCACCTGCGCGGGACCGCCGAACGAAAGCGCACAAAGCCGAATTAATGATTCCAAAAAACTCCAGTCATGACCAAACCCAGCTTCTGGTTTCTAGCTCTTCTGTGCAGTCCTCTGACCAGCCTCGCGCCCAAAACAATGAAATGTACAACTGCGCCTTCGACCGGTGCACTATCGGACATGAGCAATGTGCGAAGGAGATTTGCGGCATAGAAGCTCTTTGAGCTTGCTGTGCCCAAGGCCAGGAAAACATATTGCCGCATGTTCAAATGCTGCGAATTGGCTCGCAGGAGAAAAAGCATTGCAGCATGTGTCAGACCATCAACTGGTGAATGACTTGGTTGCCTTGCCTTTGGCAACGTGTACCCTACACGACCACGGACATCAAGCGCGGCTATAGAAGCGCCGAACTACCACCCCCTTGGAGGTAGTCCTTTCTGTGCACATTTCATGACCTTGCATGAAGCGCTTGAGAGTCACAGGCACGTCGGATGCATGTGCACCAGACTGAAACTGCTCCGAGACAAGTACATGATCAATCCAGCAGGTCTTCTGTCTGAAGAGTAGCCCATCTGGATCCAAAATTTCTTGTTCTGTGCCATCTGACTTGATGAAGCATCTCTCTTGCTTGGGCGGACCGGTCGACACAACAATGTTTACGACTTCCAGCCCTTCTGCATTTTGTACAATGGTTTGGGTGTGATTCCCAATGCCGTAGCCGACACTGGCTGCCAGCTTCCGCATCATCCAAGAGGTCCCGCGCTCGCGCAGGTAGGCCTCCCAGTCCTGACGTTGCCAAAATACATAAAATATCAAACTGGCACATGCTGGCACAGCAAAGTTCAGCAAAGCTCAGAACGATTGAGAATTCTGTGAGAACAATGCAGCCCAGGGTCACCTTCGACTCTCGAGCACACCCACTTGCCACTGAAGTCAGGAAAGGAAACTGAGTCAACAACAGAGGTCTCAAAGGTCTGATTTGTCAGATTCTGAAGGCTCAGCGGTGAGGAAACAGATGATGATCTGGACAATCGCTCACAGGTAACGTCTGATCCTGCGGCGGTCTCCACGTCATCCACATCCACCACTTCATCTTTGTTTCGGAAGGCAGTCGCGGGTGCTGATGTGGCATGGCCATCTCGGTAATCTGCGGGCGTCTGCGGAAAGAGCTCTTCGAGTTCCTGATGTCCCCCATGTCCTCCATGTCCTTCAGGGTGCACGCAGTTCCCCATGCCAAGCTCACAAGCTGGGCCAAAGCGCCAGAGGCCCGAGCCAAATCAGCTGCGTGCAAGGTCTTAGATGAGGTCGAGGCAATTTGTGAAACTAGCAGTAACTAGCATATACTAACATTGCTTCTGCGGAAGGGGAGCTGCTATTTTCCTCGACCTGCAGGTCTTCTCAGGTCTTCCACAACAGCTTTGCGTTGTGTTCAAAGTGTCTACCGCACAGCAACTGCAGGGCGCGAGGTGACGGAATCATTTCGACCTTGATCCTCACATGTCCGAGCGCGGCGGAAAGCCGCCTGCGACAGGGATGCCCGATCCATCATGCAATCCTGCACCGCCATGTCGACAAGGAAGTAGGTAGCACGTCGCCCACTTTCTGTGCTTGATCACGTAACCGAATGCTGCGGCTGTCAGCCTCTGAGGTCGCATTCCATCTCCAAGTCAAAAAGATTAAAAGTTTCTCCATGCTCATCCTGCACGCAAGTCTCTGTAGATGTGTAGCCGGCAGATTCCATACGCTCCAGAAATGCTGGAACCCCAGTTTGGCGATCCTGGCGCAACTACTGCAGGTTGCCTGCTCGCGTCTGTAGCCGTTCTACGTGGAAATACGTGAAGAACCGAACTCGCACTTGTCGAAATCGAGACACAGTTTCGGAGTTAAACTTGTTATGCTAAATGAACCTTGCAACATCTTGCAACAGTACCGCAAACAAACACTGCAAAACCACTTCTTTGGCAGCGCACTGCTCGCGAGGATTGCACAAAGAGGCTGCCCCGTGAACAAAAACCTGTGGGAGAGAGACTCGCCAGCGCTCGCTTGCAAAAGTGCTTGATCGAAACAGGCAGGTCGGTCTTTCCGGAGTTGGCGAAAGGTATTCACTCTCCTTCATTGTATTGCCCCAAACAGTTTACTGTGGATGTTCTTGCTTTCTCTTAAGACTAATAATCCCGACCTAGCCGGATGCTCTGGCCGGATCCGAGAACTCCTTGTCTCCGCATGTCTCCCCATGCGGGTGGCCTCGGCCAAGTCTCGGATTCTTGGTTTCGTTTGGACTCCTTCTCGTCTTCGCTTGTCTTTCGCTTGTCTTGTCGGCTGGCTCCCTGGATTCCTTGTTTCCGCTTGTCTCCCTCTTGGGTGGCCTTGGCCCCTTCTCGTCTCCACCTGTCTACTGTCTCTCTTCATGTCTCTCTTCATGTGGGTCGAGCGCTGCAGGTACAAGGCAAGTTGGAAGCGGAGGTGCGGTTCCTCGCAGTTCCGCTCGCGGTGCGCTGCGGGTGCGGATCGAACGACTGATTGGTCATTCACTGGAGTTCCTGTGCGGTTGGGTTCGGTTCGGGAAGCTTCCCGAAAGTTGCATGCTTCCATCTGCGCTTCTCCCAGTTGCGGGGTAACTCTCAGTTGCGGGGTAAGGCCAGTTTTCGCTGCTGTTTGTAAACACGCCATTCCACCTTTAACTGTTTGGGGTTTCGCTGGTGTAAGTATGAACAGTTGCTTATGTTTGCCTCCTTTAAGGGTGAGCATCTCCGGTGCCACCGCTGGCATATTGCTGGTGGTGTGTGGGGGGCGCAAATAAACACATCTGTCCCCTTTTGGGCCGCATGTGTTTCTTGCGTAGACGAACATACTGTATGTCATGTGTTCGCCTTTCGCTGTTCTGTTGTCTGCATGGCGCTTCCAATGCGAATGGGCCAAAGCAGGCGAATCTGAAAAGTGTATCAATGACTCCTTGGGCGCCACCAAGATCATAGATCCTGTTGTAGATAGAAGCTGCAGCGCGCATCCTCAATGAATGAAGCCAGAGCAATGGCAACCATGCGAGAGCCCACGACTTTGTCAGGAAGGTGCGACCGAACGTTGCAGCACAAGCTACCGAACTGCAACCCAAACAAAACTCGTCATGACATGCTGCTAGCCAAGTCGTCGCCGAAGTGTCCATAGACTGTGTCAGAACTGATCACCAGATCGGCTTGTTCCTGCTAGGGATATGTGAAAGCGCAACTGAGATCTCGCCGTTGTAAGGGACACTTCTTTGAATTGTTTAGCAAACGTGCCTCCAAGGCCCAATCATGGCTTGGGCATCTCCAGTCTAGCGTTTCAACTTCACACGTTGGCTTGGCTTCCCACAGATGCTTGTTGGTCTGAATGTTGTGCTGGATATTGTCCACCTGGCAGAAAGCCCAGATTGCAATCGCCCTGGCAAGGGAACCTTTTTTCGCATGAAATCAGCACGCATGCTTCAAGCAGTCTCCAAACCCGGTAGAACAAACGATGTTTTGACCACGGTGCTGTTTCTCGATCACAATCTGTTAGGAGGACTCGACGGGCGCCCAAAGCAGCAGCAGCCAGCCCTCGCCAGAACGGGGGCCATTCGATTCGCAGGTGTTCATTCGCAACGACAAGATACGAGCACGCCTGCAAGGCCACAACCAGCACCGAGGTCGAGGATGAATCGATCCTACAAGCAGTGTGCCGATGGGCCGATGGCTGCGCAAACGGGGGGCATGGCGGGGAAGTTCCACCCCGTGTTGTAGGCAGGCCCCTGCGGCCCCTGCACTATCTAGCACTGGACAAGCAACATTTCCAAACACATGCCTTCACCAGTCGCGGCCGCCGCAGAAGCTCCTGCAAGGGGAAGTAGCTCTCAACTTTTTTTGAAACCCCTACCGGTCCGGGCTGGTAGCCACATCAATTCCGCTAGGAACTTGACAAGCCATCCTGGGCCAGGACGCTTCCCGCCGGCCAGAGCTGGTTCCCAGTGGATCCGTGCACACCGTCCTAAGCACATGAGATCTGGACTCCAAATGACGCCTGATGTTGCTTCAGCGTAAGCTCAACAAAAACATTGCTTATGCAAACGCAATGCTCGGGCTCCGCGGGATGGGAGATCTAGGCCAGGGAGACCGGGCAAGGAGAACGACTGACTTAAAATCCAAAACACACGCTGAGAAAATTTAAAGCTTATAAATAAACACACACGGGCCCTCCAAGAAATAAGCTGTGGAATCACGAGTCGGCCAAGGGCAACTCTCGGATCACGACACGGATTTCGTGCACAAGCTCTGAAGACTCTGCACTTCGCAGCACGACTACCTCGTGGAAATCTTCCATGGCATCTGCCGGCACAATGCAGAGCACGTGAGCACGAGGAGTCTGATGGACTTAAGCTTCGGTGCGCATGAGGATTGCGGATTGCAAACGTGTTCAAATCCATAAGCTGGACTAATTCTGAAATTCTGAATCTGATCAATTGAGCACGTTGCTGCTTTTGTGCGGATAACCGTAGAAATCAGACAATGCTTCGGGATCCTCACTTTCTGCGATGCATCTCCCAACTTTCTTGAGCGACTTTCTGCGCCGATGTCTGAGCTCAGTATCTGACAACCCTGTCAGGTGCAGGCTGTCACAGAATGGTTCAAGCCACGAGCTTCTGGTGGCGACTCTCTACACGAAAATCATGGCAGAAAACTGCTTTTGCAGGCGAATATCACGGGAGGAAGATCCGACCTTGGATCAGCTGATTTGGTTCAGCATACCTTCACGCAATGATCTTCTAACTTGGAGGCATGTCCGTCAGCAAGGGAAGTGGATGCACCAGCGTGAAACACTCAAAGAGGCACTTATCGATAAACGACTCGTGACATTTGAACTCTGCTCGCTTCGTGCCTGACTTTGTGCCTTGTATCACTGGAACAAGCTCCCACCCTCGGAGTCTTCGTGTGTTTTTTCGGCGATTTCCGGGCACCCCTGGAGACCGTCTGGAGGACTGGCGGAGGCAGAACGCCGATACTTTTGGGGGTTACACGCTCACAGAAGACATGAGCACCAGCTTGGGCCCCATAACGTTGACAAGTCGCAAGTTCCTTTCATGTTTCTGGGGTCAGACGGTCACGCCGTTGCGGATCGCTGTGGGCTCCAGACAGGCTGAAGCGTTAGTCTAAAGCCGTTTAGACAGTTGGGTGGGCTTTGATTTAAAGCTCCTTGACCACAGAACAAGCGCAAGCCCTTTGCAAATTCAATGTCTAGTTGAAAACCTCATCGAGAACCTTCTTGTCTGCCTTCTTGAAACAAAACTGCAGAAAGTGTGCTGCTTGTTGCAGCCGATGGGTGAGGGAGGCCATTGCCTGGTTTGTCGCAGTCCTTTCACGCAACTTTTGTTTTTTAACACGTTGTTTGAATATCATAGAATCATGCGGAATGAAGCCCGATGTATCGCGGCAGGACTGCAGGGTTGGGAAGCTTTCACCGAAATCTACTTACGTCTACACCACCACCACCTTTCTCCACTGCACTTCAAGTTTGGGGCTGAAAAATGTAACACACAAACCCACGATCCACTAGGCTATGCTACTAGACTTACGAGAGGCTAGCACACATGTTTTGCTTGGTCGGGGTAATCTGGAGACGTCATGCAGCGGAACACCAAAAATTCAAATTTCAGCAGGGCACGCTCACGCCAAACATGCCTCCAATCTGGGTCCAAGAATGACTGTCCTTGGTTCCATGGAACGCCATCCGAGCAACAAGCAAGCTCGCCACTCCAGGACCAAGTCTCCACATCCCATATGGACAGATCTCGTGGCCGCAAGTGCAGCATGAGTGTGCAAGTCTCACCTGTGACATTTGCAAAACGACCAGAGTATACGCGGGATAGACATCCACCAAGCAGATGGACTCTCCAACTTGTGACATCGCGCATGCTGGTTGCAGCGTATAAATATACCCATTGATCCACCATTTTCGGCTTCAAACATATGAAAATACGCGTTGTGGATGGGCGATGATGGGCGTCAACGTAAATCATTAAAAAAATTATTGTGTTTCTACATCAACCTCTGCATAGAGGTTGTGACGGGACACAAATACGAGTAGACATTGCTAGAGGCCAATTATTTTTGAGATTCGCTGAAGAGTGCCACATAGACCGCACTCCAAGGCTACTTCGTGGGACTTTCTGCCTCTTGCAGGATTCGCTGAAGGCTTTCTTGGTAGAAGGTGCTCCAGGATTTCTCTGGTGTGTGGGCAGGGATCCTCTGCGCGATTTTTTGCGGGATTCTCTGCACAGTTTTCTGTGTGTTTTTGCCAGTGATTTAACTTGTTTAAGTGGAATTCGCCAAAAAACTAAGTTTTGTCAACTAAGTTCGAAAAGCGTTATCCGCCGACCTCTGGGCGGCGTGTTGAGGGGTTACGAGGGGTCCTTTGACGATTTCTAGTACTTTTGCTTCGCACCCCCTGCCCCCTTCTCGCCCGTTGATGTCACCCAACGCCCCACCCGCCCACCGCCCGACCTCTGATTTTTCAGAGCTTCCCTCTCTTCCCGTCCTGTCCCACACCCGCCCCGCCTCTTCCCTCTCCTCTCCCCTCTCCCCCTCTCTCCCCCTCTCCCGTCTCCCCCCTCTCCCGTCTCCCCCTCTCCCCCCTCCCCGCCCCCTCTCCCTTCCCCTCTTCGCCCCCCTCTCCCCTCCCCCCTCCCTCCCTTCCCCTCCCCTCCCTTCTTCCCTTCTCTTCTCCTTCCTCCCTCCCTTCCTTCCTTCCTTCCCTCCTTCTCTTCCTTCCTTCCTTCCCTTCTCCTTCCCCTGCCTTCCTTTCCGTGTTGCCAGCATACCTACAGCATCCCAAGCAAATTGAAGTTGTTCCTCAAATTCTACAAAAACGGCTATGTGAGATCTTTGCTTGCTCTTGGAATAATTGTTGCTTCCAAAGCTCAATGCGAAAGTTCTGGTGAAAAGATCGGTCCAAAGCGCAACCCCTAAACACTGCCCCCTTGAGGTCCGTGCCTGAGCAGGATGGAAAAAACGAAAATCGGTGGATCAGGGGGGGTATCAATAAATATATACACACACGTATATATATATATATGTATATACACACACACATACATACACATACATACATGGTGCAGCGTCGCTGCCCCCCCCACCCCACCCCCACCCCACGGTCCCCCCCCCCCCCCCTGCAAAGCTTGGCTGAAACTACTCGCCCACGCATGCGCCGCACGAGCTAGCTGCAATCTGTTTTCGCTGTGACCCAGAGCCGCATGGCTTCGAATGTGAGCTTTTAAAGCAAGCTGTACATATGTCGAACATGTCAAAGCAAAAGTCAACAGGTCAGGATGCTACGCCATCTTTCACACTGCTATGACCATCTCTCTGACCTGTTGATGTCTTGCCCCTCTTGACGGCCTTTTCGTGAACAAGCAGGCCGAGGCTCAGCTGTTCTCTTATATCCCCGCCCCTAGACGCCTTGGTCAAACCGTCAGCAAGCTGACACCTAGTGGGGACCCACATGAGCTGAGCCTTGCCGCTGTCTCCTCTTGTCGTGAGGAGCTGTCTCAAAAGCACAGCGTGGACGATGCTTCCTTTCTCTCCCACACGTTGACCGTCCTTTCTAACAGTGTCGTAAATGCTCTTACAATCCGTAACCATAGTGACAGGGCACAGATCTTGCCATCCGTCGTCTTCAACGGCCGATATGACATCTGAACCATACTTGATTTCACTAAGCAAGACCTGAGCAAATCTCGACATGTTGTGACCCATGATCGCAGCATGCGTCTCCGCAGCAAACGAGGACTCGATGACTCTGCTGTTCGTGGCGCTCTTCCAATCTATGAGATTGCAATGCACTCGGTCATGTCGCTCAGTGCTCCCTTTCTTGACAAACCCGACGCATGCGCCCTTCTGGGAGTAGATGAGTCTCTTCTCAGTGCCATTCTGCAACAGATCTTCGCTCTGTCGCTCGTCAAGCTCAACTCCAAGACTACTACACAAACCCGCATCATGATAGGCCACTATTTCAGCATCATGTCCGAGAGGTCTAAAGAGGAGCTCCAAACGACTTCGCGACGCTTCCCTGACTGCTTTGTTAGCACGATGAAGATCTCTCACCCTCAAGTCGGCTATCCTCTTCTGAAGCTGATTGCACTCAAAAGCCAAATCAGGACGTGTCTGAGTGACCAACCATTGTAAGCTTCCCACCACTGACCGATAGTCCGTGACTTCAGCAGAGGTCGCCGGCAGATCCATTTGTTTTGATCTGATCGGGTCTATCTTCATGGGCTGCAGTCTCCCGTCTACGAAGGCATTTTGATTGAGGACAACGCAAGTCTCATCATCTCTTTGAACTACCTTGATTTCTTTACCACAGTAGCTCACACCTGATGACTGCTCACAAACCTTCATCCTCGCACCAAACGAAAACCTTCCCCTCAATCTCTGGATAGCCCTCTCTCCCTCAGCACTCCCATTATGCGCTATCATCAAGTCATCCACGCGCACAATCATCAGTGCTTGCAAGACTCCGCGGGAATCTCGTAATGCAAACATGGCAGGATCCACCTGACATCGTTTAGAACCGATTTCTTCCTCCAGGACTCGCGAGAGTTCATCATACCAAGCACGGGGCGCGTCTGGTCTCCCGTACACTGGTTTCAGAAGTTTAAGAAGTTGTCCCTCTTGCAAACCCCGAAGGCCTTGTTTCGGCTGTCGCGTAAACACATCAGGCTTCCCGGTGAGGGGTGCTCCCTGCAACAAGGCGTTGGAAATATCCCCGATATACCAATCCTGGAACCATTGCATGCTAGTGACCAAATGCAGGAATATCATGGTTGACACCCGTTCCACCATGGGAGAATCCACTTGCACCTGCCCAGTTTTACTGTCGGGACAAGGGTGACCCTGTATGCACAACCGAGCTTTAGCTTTAACTGGCAAATCCTCCCCATTCCCATCTTTCAACCCAGCATTCTTGTTTCGGAACACATACCTACTGGGCAATATTCTCTCGGGCCTATCCTTTTCCACCTTCGCGCTTTCTTCCAGAGAAAGGATTTCGCAGCTATCATAATCGAGCCATGACTGCCACTCCTTCTCTTCCGCTTCCCGATACAACCCCTTTTGATTCTGTGGGATCTGATTGTAAGGAATTTCCTTTTCCATCATCCTCTTCAATTTGTTCTGGCTCTTCGTTTTCTGCTGATACACCGCATGAACCTGATACTCATTCTGTCGTTTCTTTCGACGTTTCATGTTTTGTGGAACATCATCTTGACAAGCTTCTTTCCGCGTCCTAGTCTGAAAGATGGTGATCAAACCGGCTGCAAGTCACACTCTGTTTTTACCACTATCTCCAGGTCTTCCTGTACAAAGTTCTGCTCTGGGATAAAGCTTCTCTTTCCGATCCCTCCGGCGTTGATGAAAAACCCGCATAGGCCCGACTTAGTCTCCCTGAGAGGTACCGAAACTCCGAGTCTTTCCAATGTGATTCTTCCCTCTCCCAGATTCATGACTGCCCCCAGTGCCTTGAGCGCGGTCTTGCTGAGCAGCAATGGAGCATCCTGGTCGACAACACTCACTCCCATTTCTTGGAGTCGCCGACTCGCACTGGGATAACGACCGCACACTCAAATGAGACATGAGGACCACCTCCGAACCGGAATGGCCTGGCCTCGTCGATAATGTATGCGTCCTCGCCCAATCTTCGCAGGTGCTTGAGGTGACGAGTCATCCACTTCTGGCCAGCCACCGTCCTTGCACAGCATGTGTCGCTAAGCGCTAGAGTGTAGGAGTGACACCGCTCAGCTCCACTCACACACACAGCACTGGACCACAGCTGATGACGTTGCTGGTCGTCACCGATGTTCTTGTGGCCATGAAGACTGCTTCCCCTCCTGGAGCCAATGCCTCGTCATCACTATCACTATCAGAAAGCTCTTCCTGCACCACTGCGGGGACTTCTTATCCTTATGGGCCTTGTGGTAGGGACACTCGGGATCGCTACGCCAATGTCCATACGCCGTCTTCCCATGAGCCTTGCACGCGCTACATGGCATCTTGGCCTTCATCTGCTTGACGCGGGCTTCCCTCTCTTGCTGACTCTTGTTACGGGAGAATCCTCGGGCCTTCTCAATCTCAGATCTCTTCTTGGCGGCCTGAATCAATAGAACTTCCTATTCCCCCTCAAGATCTTCGGGACCCTGAGCTGGGTCCTCACACTCATCTTCGCCAGGCATCTCGTAGTCATCCTCCGTCGTGGCATGCACCTGTCGAGGGTTCATCCCTTTTTGTTTCCACTGGCGATGCTGTTGAGGCCTGTTGGGTGCTTCTTCTTCTCTCTTGACCTTTGGAACAATGGCCATCAACGCCTTCCTTAGCTTCTCGTACACATACTCACCGCCAGCTGCCGCCACCACTTGCTTACGAAGATCAGCCGACAAGCCAGCCTTCTCCAGGAACCAATAGGCCTGATTGAGCCCGTCGATCTTGGCCCCAATCTCCTCAAGCCGTTTGAAATGTGTACGAAACTCCATGTCATATGCGATGAACTCTTGCCCTGTTGTTCGCCGAAAATCCTTGTAGAAGTCAGTGAGTGCGGTGAAGATACGTAGATGTTCAAGAGGTTCCAACTCCTGCCACAAGTGCTTCAACAGCCTCTCAACCCCTTTTGGGTGCTTCAAGTCATCGAGGTCGAGTGATTCCGTAGCTGTCCATGCTGCCCCACTCAATCTCTCATAATCTCTCCATCAGCTTCTGGGCCCTGCACGAAGGATCTATTCCTGTGGAGCTTTCAAACAACTTGACCCTTCTCTCATACTCCCGCATCGAGCTACTCCCGCTGAATTCAGGAACGTGATCTTTCCCTGTCTTCGGACTGACCTTGCTACGAGAACTTCCCAGGTCACTTTCACGCTGATCCTGATCATCCAACGTGTCCCCCTCTCTATCCTCTGATGCCCCTGTAGCTTCGGTGGACAACAACGATCCCCGCCGCTGTCCTCCTTCTGTTCTTTCGCCAGCTTGATCAGCAACCGAGCATTCGGTTGCCAAGTCCATCCTGGCCATTGACACCATAATTCCCCCCATCGGTACTTAGACCAACTTCTTGAATCAGGCCCGTCCCAATAGCCTTGCCACCAATCAGCGGACGATTCCACCAATCTTTCTTCCATTGCTCATGTCCTTGCCCGGACTGCACATGATCTGTTTGCGGCGATGGAGCGCTCCACCCGCCATGCTGCCCACTTGGCTGCCATATCCATCTTCCTTCTTCGCTATGCTGTTGCTGATGCCCGCTAGCTGCCGGATCAGAGTTTGCCGTCTTTGTTCCAGAGTTCATCTAGAAATTGCTCGTTTTCCCTGCTCCGCACCACCAATGCAAAGCTTGGCTGAAGCTACTGGCCCATGCATGCGCCGCACGAACTAGCTGCAATCTGTTTTCGCTGTGACCGAGGGCATGGCTTCGAATGTGAGCTTTTAAAGCAAATGTCGAACATGTCAAAGCAAAAGTCAACAGGTCAGGATGCTACGCCATCTTTCACACCCCCATGCACCCCCCCCCCCCCAAAAAAAAAAAAAAAAAATGAAATCTTTCCCCGCCCCGCCCCCTTGTGGTTTGGGCCCCCCTGTGGGGTGGTGTGGTTGGGGTTTAGGGTTTAGGGTTTAGGGTTTAGGGTTTAGGGTTTAGGGTTTAGGGTTTAGGGTTTAGGGTTTAAGGTTTAGGGTTTAGGGTTTAGGGTTTAGGGTTTAGGGTTTAGGGTTTAGGGTTTAGGGTTTAGGGTTTAGGGTTTAGGGTTTAGGGTTTAGGGATTAGGGATTAGGGATTAGGTTTAGGGTTTAGGGTTTAGGGTTTAGGGTTTAGGGTTTAGGGTTTAGGATCCGCACCCCGCCCCCCTGTGGTTTGGGCCCCCTGTGGGGTGGTGTGGTTGGGGTTTGGGGTTTGGGTTTTGGGTTTTGGGTTTTGGGTTTTGGGTTTTGGGTTTTGGGTTGAGGGTTGAGGGTTGAGGGTTGAGGGTTGAGGGTTGAGGGTTGAGGGTTGAGGGTTGAGGGTTGAGGGTTGAGGGTTGAGGGTGGAGGGTGGAGGGTTGAGGGTGGAGGGTGGAGGGTGGAGGGTGGAGGGTTGAGGGTTGAGGGTTTTGAGGGTTGAGGCGGTTGAGGGGTTTAGGGTTTAGGGTGTGGTGGGGGGGGGGTGGGGGGTGGGGGGGGGGGGGTGGGGGGGGGGGGTGGGGGGGGGGGTTGGGGGGGGGGGGGGGGGGGTGGGGGGGGGGGGGGGGGGGGGGGGGGGTGGGGGGGGGGGGGGGGGGGGGGGGTGGGGGGGGGGGGTGGGGGGGGGGGGGTGGGGGGGGGTGGGGGTGGGGTGGGGGGGGGGGGGGTGGGGGGGGGGGGGGGGGGGTGGGGTGGGGTGGGTGGGGGGGTGGGGGGGGGGGGGGGGTACCGACACGCGACACGGAACCATACACATACATACATACATACATACATACATACATACATACATACATACATACATACATACATACATATACATACACATACACATACACATACACATACACATACACATACACATACACATACACATACACATACACATACACATACACATACACATACACATACATATACTACATGTACATTCATACACATACATCTACATATATATATATATACTACATAAACTACTACCATACATACACATACATACACATGTGCATACATCTACATACATATACTACATATACATACATATACATACATCTACATATACATATATCTATATAAGACATATCATGCGTATATATATATATATACATACATGTGTGTGTAGAACTATATGCAATAACGACGTTCTGCAGCCAAATTGTGCATGACGCAAGCACAGACGGATCAAAACACATCAACACAGCAATCGGTCCAAGCCTGCATCCAACCTTACGTGCAACTGGCGGAGGCGAATCGCTGCTCAAAGATGTGGAACTTCTAGTGTGGTTTTCAGACGCCAACCCCACCAGGGTACCATCACCACCCGCATCCAAAACTGCCCACTTTGCAACTGTGTGATGAAGACGCGTTTAAACTCAACCGTACTTCTGTGCACATCAATGCGTGTTCGTTACTTGCTGCCGGCTGCAGCTGTCCAGCATTTCGTGGTTCCACCTTCATGCGTTCAGTCCATTCTAGGTCTGGAGGCCTCTGAGTCCATTTGGAATTGCCAAAACCGGCGCGGCAATCCGAGCAGCCGAAACTGCTGCAAAGCCTGGTCCCTTGCTTAAGGGGTGAGGATTGTTGTTGGTACTCTTGGTTTTTTGGGGAGGTTGGGGTGGCTATCGCCTTAGATTTAGTAGGCAAACCTCTAATTCTAGTTCTATCTGCACTTTCGTACGAAATCGCGATTGCCTTGGATTTCTAGGAGGCCTCGAATTTCTGCATACGGTAATCGGAAATCCGGCAATCCCTAGTTTTGTTTTTTCAGGAAAGGCTTGAAACTTGATGTAATTCCCCCGCTTGCAAACGGAATGATCCGAGGATGAATGGGCCCATTTCGCTTTTTGGGTCCCAACCCCCTCCATTTCCATTTGCAACATCCTTGGTGCGTATAGAAGAAGCGGCTGAGGCGCGAATCAGAAAACGTGCGTCGGGAAACGCGGAGAGGCGAATCGCGCTGAATCGGAAATGTCCGGCAGCAATCGGGAACTGTGCTGGGCTGAGTCGCAAAACAGGGGCGGTTGAATCAGAAAAGGAAAGCTCGATGCGGACACGTTCTGTTTGAAAAAGAAAATTTGAAAGTTTGATCCTAAAAGATAAAGTTAGAAAGTTTGGCCATTAAGTCGCGCCGGAAAGACTAAATAAATCAGAAAACACAGACAGCCCCAAATCAACACCGCGGAAGTTCGAAACGGACCCTCCCTTGGCCTAAGCCTGAAACACCCTAAACCCTGTACCCTAACAAAACCCGAAACCCTGAAAAAAACCTAAACCCTAAAACCCTGGGAACCTAAACCTAAACCCTAAACCCTAAACCCGAAAAAAACCCTAAACCCTAAACCCTCAAAAAAACCTAAAGCCCAAAACCATACAAATCCCTGCGCCCTAAACCCTAAAAACCCCTAAACTCTAAAACCCTAAAAACCATTTACATAAGTAACAAGATCGATAAGGCACAGGGGGTTATGGCTTTCCGGATAGGGTCTATTCAAATTCTGAGGGTAGTAGGGGCCTATGGAAAATGGATAGGGGTCTATGCGGCATAGGGGGGATAGTATAGGTAGGAATAGGGTCTATGCTTCGGGGTCTATGGAAAAATGGAATACCCATACGTATAGGGGGCAATAGGCAAGTCGGCAGGGCCTACGCATAGTCTGGCATGCAGACAATAGGTTGACAGCATAGGTACCTATCTAAAAACCCATAGGGTCTATATAGGGGTCTATCGACGCCTGTGATGGACGGCTACTTGCCAGACCTATCTTCGAGTAAGAGTTTGATAAGTAAACCCTAAATAAACTCTCAAAACCCCGAAGCCCTAAAACCTAAAGACCCCTGAGCCGTAAACCCTAAAAAAAACCTAAACTGTAAACCCACAAAACCCTAAACCCTCAAAACCCCTAACCGAACCCTAAACCCTAAAAACCCTAAACCCTAAAAACCCCTAAGCCAACAATCCCTAACAACCCCTGAGACCTAAACCCAGAAAACCCAAAACCTCAAACCCCTAAAGCCTAAAACCCAAGAAACCCTAAACCCTAAAATGCCCTAAGCCCCCAAACCCTGAAAACCCCTAAACCCGAAATCCTAAACCCTCAAAACCCCGAAGCCCAAAACCCTAAAAAACCCTATACCCCGAGCCCAAAAAAAACCTAAACCCTAACCCTGAAAAATCCAAAGCCCTAAACCCTAAAAACCATTTACATAAGAATATGGATCGATAAGGCATAGGAATCTGTGGCTTTCTGGATAGGTTCTATTCTGAGGGAAGTAGGGGCCTGCAGTTTCGTCGGGCGCTTTGTCGTACAAGCTTTGGAGTTTTGACGGTTTCTGGCTACGGGTTGGATGGGAAAGCAGATCTACGACTGCGAAGGCGCCTAGCACGAGTCATGTTGGAGCCTCGCTTTTTCACATTCAGCCCTGCCCTGTGTCAGGTTGGGTTCATCCGGTTTCTCGAATGCAGCCTAGCGTTTTCCGATTGGAGCCGGCCCGTTTTCGGCTTCACGTTGGGCCGATTCGGGCCCCGTTTTCGGATTCACGCTTCACTCGCGGTGAAAAAACCATGCTGGGGGGGGGGGTGAGAGCGGGGGGCGCAGCACCGCAATTTGCAAATCTCCATTCCATTTCGCGTTTTGGGTTACGTGCCCTCGACTTGCACTGCACAAAGAAAACTCCTTGGTGTCTACAGAAAAGGGGTGGGGGGAGGGGCGCTCGCAAACAGAATGATCCGAGAATGAGCGGGCCCGCATCTCCTTTCCATCTGTCGTGTTTCGAGTTGCATCCACAGCCATTTGCAAGCAGAACAATGAAGGCATGCCCCTCCAGTTGCAATACAAAAAAGCCTTGGCATGTGCTTTAGAAAAAGGCCGCGGGGGGGGGGGGGGGGGCAGGCCCCCGCCCATTTGCGAGGATGAATGGCCCCACAACTCCTTTCCATTTGGCAAGCAAAATAGTCCAAGCATTCGCAGTACAAATAAAATACAAGAGAAGATTGCAAACAGATCCGAAGGATGGGTGCTGGGCCCCTCCGTTCCATTCCTCGTTTTGGGTTGCAACCCCAACCGCTTGCAAGCAGAATGGTGCAGGCAATGCCCCCTCCATTTGCAACACAAAGCAATAATCCTGGTTCCGTAGACAAAAGCCTCCAGGAGGTGGGAGTCGTTGCCCTTCCCCCCCCGACCCCATATGCGAACAGAATTGTTTGCAGCCCCAGTCCTTTGCAAGTACCATGATGAAGGGATGTCTACTTTCAAAACCAACGGGTGTTTTTTATATGTTGATGGGAAACCTTTGTGATTTGCTCAAAACTTGACTGAAAAAATCCACATCTTAAAGAGAGCTCTAGATATAGGATGTAAGCCCTCTATACTATGATAAAAAAGAACTGTCCATAAATATGCAGATAAATATAATAGATATATATATATATACATGCTTCAAGAGACACATTTGTGGTCACTGTTAGGGGTGCGCCCGCCTTCGCCCCCCCAAAAAAACCCCACCACGAGAATCCAAAGCGAGGGGCGGGGATGGAAGGATCCGAAGATGAGCCTTTCCATGTCGTGTTTTGGGTAGCAGCCCCGGCCGTGTGCCGAGAAAAGATGCCCTCCATTTTCTCACTTTTTTTTGGAGTCGGGACTGCCGATTCTGATTTTTTTTCATGCCCAACCATATATGATGACTGACTTGAAGGGGTTTGGGGACAGCTGGGGAGAGCGGGGCCGGCACAGGAACTACTCATGTCTACATGCTCGTTCTACATTGATACATGCGTAAACGCCATCGTGATGGCAATCAATCCAGCGGCATTTTGGTCTTGGCAAAGCCTCGGAAAGCGAAGTGAACACGGAAGTCTTGGCAGTCTTTCCATGACCGCAACCCTCGTCAACAACGTGCTCAGATAAAGTGGAACAACTTGGAGTGCCACCTTTCAGTTGGAAGGGCTCTCCCGCGGAAGGAGGGAACTCGAGGTAAAGTTGCGCCACCTCAAGCTGCACGATTCCAACATTCACAAGCATGCAAGCGCTTGCCTCTGCTCCAGGACGTGTCCCGGTGTTCTTGATCACAAAGGTCACGCTCTTTCCTGCAGCTTCACAGCAACGAACATGTGGTAGAGAGAGCTTCCGAGCCCCGGAAACGGCATCTTGGAAACCTCCACGGAAGTCGTCTTGAATGTCCAACGAGCTGTACCTTGTAAGGATCCATTTTCGAAGCTCGCATGTCGCATGGTACGATGCACACAATTCCGCTCTAGACTCTAGGCCAAGCCAAGATGCGCAAAACTGGTGTAGGATAACCCGTGGCCAAAAGGGAAGCCTGTAGCCAAGAGCTCCGTATCTCGATGGTGCATATGTAGACCCTATACGCATCTATACGCATACGCATCTTTTGGGGCGCGAAAATATTCCGCGGCCTGTCGTGAATTCCAACTGATGCGCTTCGTAAAACCTATATCCAACTTGTAGTCTTTCCTGAGTGCAAATGCCAAACATCCCAACTGGCAGGCGCTTTTCAGAGCTGGCTTGAGAACTCGAAAGCCAAAAAGAAAGCCAAAAGAGAAAGCCAGGGTGTCTGTGTAGTAGGCATAGGCTGGAGCTTTTGGATCAGGAATTCCCGGGTACTGCGCAGGTGAGAACTGGGTCTCGTTGTCACCTTCGCTTTTGAGCTCTACTTACTTGCAAATAGGAGGAGAAGCCTAGCACTTTGTAGCAAGATTGACAGACTAGGACCTTGCTTGCTGTATCAGGACACGATACCGTGTAATGGGCTGATTGTCACAGTCCATGGCAGCCGCAACCACAACATCTAGCGCGCGTTCATGCTACCATCTGACTGAATGCTACCGCTGGTGTCCATTCCATGGCACTGTTCGGAAACGTCAAAGGTAGCTTGCCAGAAGGATTGACGCTGCCAAAGAGGACGTCAGCGATGGCATTGCCAGCTTGTTGCCCAGGCATGAAATTCGTCACGACGGCCTGTGAGGGCATGACCACCAAGCGACATGCGTCCGGACATGATTATATACTGTTTTTAACTTTATTACCCCGACCATGACTGCCTTTGCTCAGCCGAGCCACTGCAACCTGTCTGGACCACGGCAACAACACGGCCCCAGGAGTGGTGACCACGACAACCTGTTCTCAGGTTGGAGCCAAGAGCCAGCGTTTGCGAGAGAAAAGCGAACAAAAGACTTCAACTGGGATTAACATGATTAACGGTCGACAGATAAGCACACCATGGCAAGCCACTGTTCTCTCGCCGGCCACGGCCGCAATGGCGCTGACAGCCTGTTCGGGTAGGCTTCATGATGTCCACGCGGGCACTCCAAGGTAGTGTTGCACGCTTGCATGCGTGGGTACGCATGCGTACGTGCACATGCATGCATGTACATGCACGCGATGCATGCGTGCAAGCGCGTGCGCGTGCGCGTGTGCGCACATGAGCGTGCGCGCACGCGGGCGCTTGCACGTCCGCAAGTGCGTGCACGCGCACGCGAGTGTGTGCGCATGCACGCGTGCGCACGGGTGCATCCGCACGTGCGTGCCTGGGAGCGTGCGTGGGCCCGTGCATGTGCGCGTGGGTGCGTGGGATTGCGTGGGATTCCACCCACCCCCACCCACCCCCACCCACCGCCACCCACCCCCACCCACTACAGTATGCGCCCACGCATGCACCCGCCCCCCACGCACGCGCGCACGCGCACTATGCACGCACCCACGCAATGCCATCCCGCGCAATCCCGCGCAAGCCCGCACAAGCCCACGCAAGCCCACGCAAGCCCACGCAAGCCCACGCAAGCCCACGCAAGCCCACGCAAGCCCACGCAAGCCCACGCAAGCCCACGCAAGCCCACGCAAGCCCACGCAAACCCACGCAAGCCCACGCAAGCTCCACGCAAGCCCACGCAAGCCCCACGCAAGCCCACGCAATCCCACGGGGGTGGGTGGGAGTGGGTGGGGGTGGGTGGGGGTGGGTGGGGTGGGTGGGGTGGGTGGGGGACAAGCTTTGCGAAACCAGATGGCCACGCCATGAGCATTCACTCCGCATGTTCACAACTTATGGAGGCCGAAATAGGCCGAAAGACTGGCTGAATCATGGGACCAGAAAGCTGTGTAAAGCTGTTTGCTTCTCTTGATGTCACGCACCACTCATGCACCAGAATGCCTGGTTCTGACCCGCCCACTCTGTGCCAACATCGAGAGACAGAGAGCTTCGGTCAGAACCTTCACCTGGAGCGGCTTTTGGGACAACTGCAGAGGAATATCACACTACAACCGAGCATCCAGCCTGAAAGCGTGCCCACAAAGACGACAGCATAGTCGCTCTGCTTTGCAAGCTCTACTGCTGCCTCGACATCCATGCCACAGTTGAAGACAACACTTCCAGAATCTCCCACGGCATCACGAATACCTGCAAACATCTCGAGAAACCATGTCCAAGACGACTTTCCAGCATGGTTGCGCAGGAAAATCTATGTTCTGAAGATATGCGCATGAACGCACACAACTGAGTTTCAACATTTCAGCCTTGGAGTGGTGTGGAAACGAAGGAGGGCTCCACGCTGCCAGAACCTCCAGCGTGGTATATGGCTTTCCTCGGACTCAGAAAGCAATTCCTTTAAACACTTTGCCAGAGTTCGAACATGCAACGCGGTTAGGACAAGATTGTAAGGAACTTGTATGAGCTTGATCATTGGTGTCGAAAGTTAAACAGAACGGCAACCGAAGCCTTGGGCCTCCGGTCTTCTTTTGAAGAGGAAGGCCCCATACAAGGTTGGAATCAAGACATAAAACGCATGGCAGAATCACGCAAAGATCGAGGCTAAGCTCACAAGAAGGCTCTAAAGGCGAAAGTTGGCTGCAAAAAGCAGAACGCCGACCACCTCCAGGCCCCGGCAACAAAACGCAACAAAAGATCCCGGAGAGTTGCTTTATGTTTAGGCTTCGGGTTATGCTGATGTATCTGGAAGCAGATGAGGGGGTTGCGGCCTTGAAATCAAGCAATGTGGCCTTTTCTCCATGCTCTGTTAATTTTGTCGCATCTCCCTGCCCCGCGCGGCATCTGCAATAAAGCAAAGAACTCTTGCGTCCATGAATCGAGTCTGCCAGGCCGATCACTGCAACGTTTTTGCCGCGAGCTAAAGGCAACAGGCCTGCGCAGATAAAAACATGCTGCCATACCTTGGACAGTGTCCCGAAATTGGGCGTTATTCAAGTCTTCAAGTGGCTCATTGACCTACTGAATGACTGCTGGCCTTCGTTTCTCAAAAGCACGGTGCCCTTGGACGAAAGGCTGCGGGCAGAAGCAACAGAAGCGGATGTGGTCACCTCAGGAGCCACAAACCTTATGAAGGAAGCGAACCAACAAAGAATCGGCTGGAAATTTTGACACAAGTCTGAGCAGCATTTTTCAAACGCTTGCTCCAGTCCCACGTGCTGAGGGGTTCGTCCATGACCTGAGCGCGCGATGCACTGAATTTCCAAAGCCTTTACCTGCGCTACATGAAGCATCAAGTCAATCTCATCTGAGGTACGCCCACCTGAAACATGGATTGTAGAATCCGTCGAACAGCATCATCTACTTGATCCTCCTGCGCAAACTGATGGTTTGGTTGTTTCAGTGCTTTTGTGATCTGCGGGTTCCACCAATCGATAGCAGCTTGAATGGTCTAAACGTCTCAGTCTCTGTCATTAACTTAACAAAACAGACACAGGGTTCAAAGCAAGAGCACCACATTTTGTGCCACGCGCTCCTCATGGATGGCACAGATGGCATCTGCGAATTTATCAACCCCAGCCCCATTCCCCAAAGGGCACCTACCCCAACACCGTCACCCCAAAGCATTGTTGTGATGAGGGCCACTACCCACACACTGCCCCCTCGAGTGGGGTTGTGTTTGTCCCCAACCCCACCCCAACACTCAACCCTTACTCCACCCAACAGGTGGAGCAGGGGCAGGGAGTTGGGGTGGGGGCTACTAGCCTGACGCCACGGCTTGCTTGGGCTCCCGGCGCTACATTGGCTTCTGGAGGGCTTCAACAAGATCGACGACAACAACAACAACAACATTTCATTTCATTTCATTTCGGACGCATGTGCGGGTTATGTCCCACACCTTGGCGGGCATCGAGGGTGAAAATTGAGTGACCTATTCGTTCGGGACCTGATCAGTCCGATGTCCTACCTTCTTCAAGCAATGTGGGTTGCGCTTCTGTACACGTCTCTGCGAGATTGGTCTTCAACCTCAGCAGGCAGGCTGGCAGGCAGGCCTAGTCTGAAAGTATCGGCCATGCAGGCTGGCACTTGTCCATAAAGAGGCATTGAGGCTTTTCTTCTGCAGTGCGAGCAATTGTCTGGAGACTGGATCGAATCCTTTGTCAGGACGGTTCAGGCGCTTAGGGATAATGGTTCAGCTTGCTGGAGGCGACCTCACTCGCATACTGGAACCAGGCTGATGGTACGATATGGGGAAGCCAGAATGGCTGCTTCTCGAGCCCGAAGAAGGGACTGGACCTGTTTGCGATGAAAGGAAGCAAGCATCTTATAAACAATTGCGTACGGCTTGTACTCCTCATAGACGTCGTCATACAATGGGCTGATGATTTGGTAGAAGCGAAGAGCCATGCTGTTCTGGAAGTCTTGAGAGTGATCCTCCGGGTTGGGAGGTCTAGCGCTGGCTCGGAACGCAGAATTGACCTGCTTGAGCAAGGCTTCCTCAAAGAGCTCCAGGAGTCCGTGATCATGGATCGAACCCAGGCAATTTCTTCTGCATGGATTTCTCGAAGTAGCCACTTCCGATACGTGACTAGATCCTCTCGGATTTGGTCCTGGTAGTTCGGAAGATGAGGCAACAGAGCCAGGAGACGTTGATCGTAGGACAGAGCGTTGAGGTGACGGTCTTGATGTTGAAAGCGCCATCCGTTCTTCACTGACGATGCCCCTTCTGAGGTTGAGGAAGACACTTTGAGAAGCTGCTGTACCCGGTATACTGTGGAGGCTCTCTTGAGCGCCTGCAAGTCGAAGTAGTGAAGGTCCAGTTGCTTGTCATCGTGTAGATGGAGATTGGAGGGGAAGTAGTCCAAGCCTTGTCCCGGAGCGTGCGATGGCTGTGACTGCTCAATGCCCGAGAGGAGGCGTGGCGTTGACGATCGCATCAGAAGGTGAAGATGTGACAAGGTGTTGGCTATCATAAAGTGCACCTCCCCCTGGCCAAAGTGGCGCGTCAGGTACGTCCAGATGCGCTGGATGGTGGGTTCTGCATCTTCTAGCTGAAATGAGTTCTGGCCAGGACCATCGTTCGTGTAGTCCCGAATCGCCTGAGAGATGAATAGGAGCTGGCGCTTCTGATGGTACGTCAGAGTGTCGGCACGAGGTTCAGTCAGCATCATCTCGTCATGCTTTCGTTTTGCTGCCAGCTTTCGGGGCAGAGTTTTAGGAAGGTAGAGCCGCAATTCTCCCATATGCCAGTGAACCTTCTCCGTGAGCAGCTTCATAAAGCTGCAAGCGCGCGAAGCTATCCGTATCTGACGGTCCGAGTGTTGGATCGCCTCCTCCGCAGAGGTGCGTGAGGATGCCAGGCCCAGATTGCTTGCTGTGGCGGCGCCGGATTGAGATGTAGAGTATACTGGCAACGGCATGAAGAGAGATTCGAGGAGTACCTCCATTGCTTGTTCGCGGCTGAGGACGGGGTGAAGATCTGCCATGATGTTTGGCAGGGTTGAAGTTCGCCCAGGAGGAGACCTCACTCGTGCAGAACCTGAGAGCAAAAACTTTGCGAGGAGAGCTGTGCTTAGTGAGACCAGGTGCAGCAAGATCGGAGCTCCAAGCTTTTTCCGCAATTTGGGAAGATAGTGCAGTGAACAGGAGGGGACCTCTCTCGTTGGGATGCTATGGTGCACGGACGATGGGCTAGCCACGAATTTTATCATTAAGCATCTGCTTCAGATGTCGACGGCGTCGAACGAGGAGCAGAGTCAGCGCCACAGCAAAGTTCTTGTAGTCGTCAAAGACCTGGTCGTGGAGCGGGGACATAATAGTGATGACTCCTTGTGCCTGCTCAAGATCCCCTTGGTCCCCACCGTATCTGTGACGTATTTGTTGCCAGAGACTGTCAGCAAAGTAGCGATGGAGAGTGTCTCTAGGTAGAAGCTGACCCACTACCAGGTTGCGCACCCACAAAAAGTCTTCCTCTGTCAGAGGAGTGGACAGCCAGAGGCGGTACATTGTCAGGATTTCTCGGAGTGTCTCCTGATAGTGCGGAATCATTGGAGCCAATTTGGAGCGGTATTCCTCGTAGTCAAGCTTGGAGAGATCGCGGTCTTGTTCGAGGAATTCCCAGCTTTCTCGAATCTGTTCGCTGGCTGACGTAGGTGTGGAGGCAGTAATAGTCCGCAGTTGTTGCAGTAGGCGCAACTGGAGCGATGCTCTTTTGAGCGTTCTGAAGTCGTATGCTTCAAGGTCAAGCTGATGAGCGTCGTGCAGCCGGAGGTCTGAGGGGAAGTACTTCTTGCCTTGCCAGTTCTCCTCTGTCGTTTGGGGATGCAACTGGAGAAGGTTCCGTTGATGTGCTGGAGTAAATTCAGATTGCAGTAGTACCTTGGCTTGCTCCAGAGTTCGGAGCAGAATGGCATTCAGCTCTGACTGCGAGAACCTCCTGATGAGATAATGCCAGGTTAGTGCGCTAGCTTGATTGGCATCGAACGTACTAAAGGACGGTGAGCCTTCTCCGTCATTTGTGTAGTTTCGGATCATGAGTGAGAGGTATATGATTTGCTGGCGCTGGAGAGACCCCATGTATGGGGGCAGCTGCGCTGAAGGCAGCTCATCATCGATGTGCTTGCGCTTGCCTGCCAAGGTACGTGGCCAGGCTTCAAGGGGCAAATCAGTATGCCTTCCCTCGCGCCAGGCCAGGTGCCTATCCAAATGGCATATGAAGCTGCAGAGCCGTGATGCCACTCTCATGCTTCGTTCTGCCATAGGTTCAAGTTCTTCTGTAGTGAAGGTGAGCCTCCTCGGGGCGAGGTGGGTATTTGCGGAGGTCGATGTGGCCATCTGCTCATGGATGCCGCCAGGTAAGTAAATGGTAGTTGGCACGTGAAGCGACTCCATGAGAATTTCGAGCAGAACCTCGCGAGATAGTGACGGCATGGCTGGGTTGTTGACCGGGAGGAGACCTCACGTGGTCAGTTTGTGTAAGGTAGGCTGAGCCCGGCTGTGGTAAGCATCGATCAAAGCAGAAAGCTGCAAACTTTAATGTTTGAGCATTTAAACCAGGCAGAGCTGAGGCGTTGGCACTGCATCATGTTTCAACTCTATCTGCAGGAAAACCTCAATGTCGCAGATTGCTGCGAAGAAAGGGCTGTGCTGCAGTTAGAGAGGCAGGAGACTTTTCCACTGCTTATGACTGGGCGTGCAAGAGGCAGGTTTTGTCCCTTGTTGGACAGAGACGTTGCTAACCCGATGCTCTGCGTTGCAGGAGGGGACCTCACTCGCAAACTGCTGGCAGGCTAGGGCGCGAAAAGGCGAAGCAAGGACTGCTGCCTCTCGAGCGACAAAGTACGAAGAAGTGACCGAACTCGACGGCGGTTCAGGGGAGTGAGCATCTTATAGACGATCGCAAACGGTTTGTACTCCTCGTAGACGTCATCATGTAGAGGATTTATGATTTGGTAGAAGCGAAGAGCCATGCTGTTTTGGAAGTCCGGAGTGGAATCAACGGGATTAGGAGAATCAGCACAGGCCTGGAGTGTATGGTTGACCTGCTTGAGGAGAGCTTGTTCGAAGAGTTCCCGGAGTTCACCTCTCGAGATTGCTGACTCTAAGAGTGCAGCGCGGGTCCAGGCTGTCTCCTCTTCAGTGATTTCACGTAGGAGCCATTGCCTGTACATCACCAGATTCTCTCGGATTTGGTCCTGGTAGTCCGGGAGGTGAGGCAGCAAGGCCTGGAGATGCTTGTCATAGGGTAATGAGTCGAGATGTTGCGCTTGTTGTTGGAAGCGCCAGCCATTTGTTACAGGTGACTCTCTGCCTGGGGTTGAGCGAGATAGCTTGAGAAGCTGCTGTACTCGATAGATCGTCGATGCACGCCTGAGTGCCTGAAGGTCGAAGTATTGGAGATCCAAGTGTTTGTCTTCGGGTAGGCTTAGATGTGGGGGAAAATAGCCCTGACCTTGTCCCGGAGCCAAGGATGGCTGTGACTGCTCCATGCCTGATATCAGACGTGGTGTCGCCGACCTCATCAGGAGATGAAGATGCGACAAGGTGGTGGCTATCATAAAATTGACCTCTCCTTTGGCAAAGTGACGTGTTAGGTACGTCCAAATTCGCAATGTGGTATTCTCCGCATCTTCGAGTTGAAAGGAGTTTTGACCTGGGCCATCGTTCGTGTAGTCCCTGATCGCCTGAGATATGAAAATGAGCTGACGCCGCCGAGGATGGGTCAGAGTGTTCTCCTGAGGCTCGTGGAGCATCATTTCCTCGTGCTTGCGTTTGGTTGCTAGCTGTCGAGTAGCAGTCTTGGGGAGGTAGAGTCGAAGATCACCCAGTCTC